ATGAGACATTGGTAGAAATAATGTTAACGATCAAAGAGAACAAAATCCGGGTTAGTGGTCGAATGGAACCTGAACTACGCGCCAACTAAGATGAGCCAGCGCAGAAACGTAAAATCGTTCTGTGTTGAAAGACTTCACCCACTTAAGTAATATTTTGCCAATTTACTAGGTATTGACATCAGCTATCTTCTGGCAGGTAGTGTTTCCCGCCGGCAAATGAGTATGTTGTTGAGTTGTATTTTGTGTGAATTTATGCCGCATGCCGATGATAAAAATGCAAGGTTGTTGTTTTCAGTTACCGGGCTATGCGAGCGACAAGTGCAGCGTTATTCTTCTCTCTCTCAATTTAAAATTTGTTGACATGAAAATCACCGAATCGTAATGAATAACCAGCATTGGCAACATGCTAGCAAGCTACGTTTTCACTCATATCTATAATTTTAGAGGTGGGGACGACGCTCACCAAAACCAAAGTTTACCGAATACTATAAGTTGGTTCACTCCAAGGAATTCGTTTGTCGGTACGGCTCAGGATTGCATTTTTTGCGATTTCCATAAATCATATCGCCGACAGACGATGTCTGGAAGCCGCCGGCCGCATGACAGTTATACGAGGGCAGTTCCTATTCGCGATATCTACAGGGGACGTTCCGAAGTTGAAACTTCGCTTGCTCGGTTGTATCAGACAGATAAACAAAGATACGAAAGTAGTTGTTTGTCGATCAACTTCTAGAAACATGATAGATAAACTCATGAATAAATGATCTAAGAAACAGATCAGAGTGATTTACTGATGAAATGATAAACATACATTCAGAAAAACATGTTTTATTAACAAAAATAATACAATTATATAATGTTATATGTTTATAAATGATTTAAAATATTCAATTTTACATTGCATGATTTATGTTTCCTAACAATCTTCATGTCCTGGTTCATGAATTTTAAAGTAAAGTATATCCGAACTCTTGTATATAAAGATATATAATAATCGAAGAGGAATTTTTGACATGGATGTGAGAAAAGAATTTTCGAATATTTTGTTTTCAAATACTGTCCAATTCCCTTCTCACTGCCGATTTTATCAAAATTTTCAATGAATATGTTTTCCATCTCTATTACATGGTCAACAATATCTCTTGATGGGAACTTGGGAAGCCAACGTGACTTTCATTTTTTGAAAATTATTTCGATAAATGTGGTCATTATTAAGTTTAAGAGCCAATTTATATTGTTTAGTTCTATCATAATTATACATTGTTTCTATGTAATGTTTTCTTGTTTCTCCACCCTGAAGTAAAAACTGATAGGAAAACAAATTGTTTCGTGTCGACTTCAGCAAGTGCGGGATATCAAACAAATATACAAGTTTATGATCGTCTATCAGAAATATGGGATTTTCGTCTGTAACATTCAAAGTTTTCACCAACTTCTGAAAATTTGAACCCTGATCGGAAACCACCCCCATGACATTTAGGCCTATACTTTTGCATCTTCGTACCGTTTTGAACAAAATATCTTTCAAATCATCAGAAGTTGCTGATGTCTTATAGAAAAAGTATGCAAGTGGTATTTTCCAATTGCTTGCCAAACCTCTGAACATTACTGTTAGAGCACTACTTGCTATGTCAGTAGAGGTCCCATTCAAACTTGTTTGGAAACCTACTATTTTGTCTCTGGAAATATCATAATAAAGATGAGATTTCAAAGATATTTCGTCTAGGCATAAAATACAAT